ACTTACCTGGCAGGGGAGATACCATGATCACGAAGGTGGTTTTCCCAGGGCGAGGCTCACCCATTGCACTCCGGATGTGCTGACCCCTGCGATTTCCCCAAATGTGGGAAACTCGACTGCATAATTTGTGGTAGTGGGGGACTGCGTTCGCGCTCTCCCCTGGTTTTCTGAGTTTAACGTTAGACTTGTTATTTTTCTGACTGTCTTATGGCTGGTTTAGTTTATTCCTATGTAATCCGTGTTGTTACTTAGCAACTCCTGGCTTTTCTTGTTTTTAAGTTAAATTTTAACACTTGTTGTATTATAGCATCCTTTCCTTTTTCAAAAGTTGCTTATATTGTCAAATTATTAGCTCAGGGCTCTCCATGGTGGTGCCGCGGTGTAAAGTGCAACAGTGTGAAGTTATCCGCGGGAGCTGAATCCCCCACCAGGAAGCTGACCCACATGGAGTGGCAGTCGTCTCCTTTCCCACTGTCCGCCTCAGCAGTGCTACTTCATCGATCTGCCCACTGTTTCTCCTGAATACTCTCATCCCCCCCACATCTGGCCTGTACCCCAGTTCTTGTATGCATGAATAAATAAATCTTATTTAAAAATTAAAATTGTAGGTCAAAAGGTATAAAACCATCTCTGGCACGATATATGTATGTATGTATGTATGCATGTATATGTGTATCCAGAGTTAAAAATGTTTTCCCCCTGATTATAGTCATATTACAGAATATTTAGTGGGAAAAATTCAGTAGTTCTGCATGGACACTAGTACAATTTTGTTGATTTACATTTTGCTGTATTTCCTTTAAGTGTCTTTACCTTTGCCTTTCTAGAAACAGTACTAGTAATCTATACTTGATATGCTGCATTATACTTCTTATGTCATTATCTGGCTTCCTATGTCATTATTAAGAAACTTGAAGTTCTTTCCCTCCTGCCTCATATCCCTTACATCCCACTGTTCCTTTCCTGCTTAATCTCATAACAGTAGTGGTGTTTATTAATATCCACTAGTTGTTGTAAAACTTTGTATCATATCTTTTGCTATATAAATATTCAGTTTTCTATCATCCTGACTTGCTTTCTAAACGTTGTTCTTTCAAATGCCCTCTGTTTTGCTGGAAATGGCTGATATAGACTTTGAAAGATGAAAATTATAAGGGAAAAAGTTTCTAAAGAATTTAAAAATATTTATCATGTGACTTCTTATCCCCCAAATAATTTAAGGCACACAATTAAGATGACTAAATATTAGAAGAAAGTCAAGTGTAGGATGCTGTCACTAATATGTGGAATATAGGGAAACAAAACAAAATATATAAAGACAAAGAAATCTGACAGTAGAATTGAGGCTACCATAAAGGGAGGATGGGAGCACAGTGGATGGCAGTAGAGACTTAGCTTCACAGTGCTGCGCTTTAACCCTTTGCACCACCAGGGAGGGCCTCCTATTTTACCTTGTAAAAACATTTTCCTTAGTCTTCCTGTCAGCAATGTATTTCAGTAGATCCACCTGCTCTGCTCCTCACTCTGGTGAATCATCTTTCATACACATACATACACTCAACCCTTTTGTGTACATTCTCAGTTCTATGCATAAATAAAAGTAAGTCTTAGAAAATTGCTTCCTTTAGACATCTCTGTGGTGCAGGGGTTTGACAGTGCCATCAAGCTATCGCCAGCCACTGTGGCATGGATTTTGATTGCAGACCTTGAAGGTGACTCACATGGGGCAGCAGACCTATCCTGTCTCACCCACTACTCCCCTCAGCAGTGAATTTCAGTAAATCTATGCCTGTTCTGCTCTCCCCACTCTACCTCTATCTAATCCTCTCACCACAGCACCTCTGGCCTGCACCCCAGTTCTTGTATGCATAAATAAATCAATCTTTACTAAAAATAAATAAATAAATAAATAAATAACTTCTTTAGGGCCCTCCTTGGTGGTTTAACCTTTTAAAGTGCAGCACTTGTGAAGCTATTTGCAGCCACTGCAGTAAGAGTTCCATCCCCCCGCCAAGGAATTGATCCATAGGGCGCAGCAGACCTCTCCTGTCTCGCCCGCTGCTCCCCTCAGCAGTGTTTTTCAGTACATCTCTGCCTGTTCTGCTCCCCACTCTGTCTCTGGTGAATCCTCTCACTATCCTCCTCCTCTGGCCTGTATTCCACTTCTGTATGCACAAATAAATACATCTTAAAAAAATTCTTTCTGGAAAATGGAGACCGAAAGAGGCCAAGTAATAAGACTAGTCCTTAAGGGATGCTGCGACTCACACCCGAGACACTGAGTATGTAACCTAGACATATGTTTCAGCGCTGGCCTCCGCCTCACAAGCAGCCCTGTATCGCAGAGCAAAATTCAGGCTTCTCATAACAAAACCTCGTCGAAATCTTTGAGTATGCCCAAAAGGCAAGGCACTTTAAAAATCTTCCCCAGTTACACCAACTGAGGATGTTTTTGGACCTTCGTAGGACACAGCTAGAGCGGATTTATCCTTCCGGAAGGAGAGTAACATCCGGAAAGACGCGTAACGACAAGAGGCGGGGATATGGAGATGAGGTGCGTGGTGACTGCCGGTTACAGTAATTCTTCGGGAGGTAGACTTTTTACTGAATATCTAAAAGGCTGTTTGCTGTTCTCTCTCCTGTCAATAGCCTTGCAGTTTCTCACAGGAAGCATTAGCAGCACGAAATATAATTGACCCTGACTAAATAGTGTTTTATTGATGAAGGTGAGGTACCAGGCGACAGAAGCAGCTCATACTTACCTGGCAGGGGAGATACCATGATCACGCAGGTGGTTTTCCCAGGGCGAGGCTTATCCATTGCACTCCGGATGTGCTGACCCCTGCGATTTCCCCAAATGTGGGAAACTCGACTGCATAATTTGTGGTAGTGGGGGACTGCGTTCGCGCTCTCCCCTGGTTTTTCTGGTTCTAAAGTTAGATCTTGAGATGTGTCAGCACCCTTATTAAGAGTTGGGACGTCACAATCGTGTGTTTAGAGGAATTTGTTTTATCGTTTTGGTATCCTGAGTGTGTCCACGTGGTTTGTGTAGTTACATTTTTATACCTCGGACTAGCAAATTTTACTTGTAGACATTTTTTAGGTAAGAAATTTAAATAAAACATCTAAATACTTAGTCATTTCTTTACAACACCTTATCTCCAAATACAGTAACATTCAGAGTTCCTCGGGGTTTGGGCTTCAGAATAGGAATGAGTGGGAAGGAATACAATTCAGCCCACGATGATTAGCCATCTGGAGCACAATGGGAATGTCACTTTTTTCTTTATTCCTGGAAATGGAAGGGACACGTATTAATGTAGAAATTAAAGAAAAAGTTCAAAATAAAACAAAACTTAAGTTACGGTCCTCCCTGGTTATGCTATCGCCAGTCAGTCGCTGCAGCACAGAGGTGACCCTCGTGGCCATGGCATAGCAGACCTCTCTTATCTGGCCTGTTGCTCTCATTATTTTGTATCTGGTGAATACCCTCATACCTCTGCACCTCTGGTTTACACTCCAGTTCTTGTGTGCATAAATAAATTCTAAACATCTTTTAAAAAAAGTTATTAGCAATTTCCATCATTTATCATTGAAGAAATTATTACTTCTCAGTCAGTAACCTAGATGCTACTATTTTAGCCTTCTTAACTCTTCACTTCACAGGATATACTCTTATTTCTTCTAGTAGCTTAGTATTTCAGCACTTCGCCACCCACACTCCTTGAATCACGTGGTTAGCCTTCCCTTTCTGATCTACTGTTTTTGGAGCTTCAACTGCTACCACTGTCTGTTCTGCTGGGTGGAGTGTTGGGATGACAGAGTTTCATTTTTAGGTGCTTTACCCAGCTCCCGGGACACTTGAGACACCTGGTTGGTAAACACAAACACTTGATTATATTTATGATGACCATGGTCATTATTGTGCATAGGAACAGCTGATAACTAGAGAGAGCTCCCTTTGGGGCAGGCATAGCACTAAGTACTTTATATCTATTAGCTCATTTATACCTTTCAGGAAATATAATACCCGGTGGCCATTATTGTCCCCTTTTACTGATAAATAAAATGAGCCCTATCAGGTTTCATAATTTCCCCAAGGTCACACATGGAGGTGACAGAGCCAGGACCAGAAATTCAGCTTCTCACCTGTGACCCCAGCCCTCACTGTTGTACTTTCTACAGTTCTACATGACTGCATTTTCCTACTAACCTTTCAAAGTCTGTGCTCTCGTTATATATTTTAAAAGATTTATTTATGGATACAAGAACTGGGGAACTTGGGCGTAGACCAGAGGTTGGGGGGTGGTGAGAGGATTCACCAGAGACAAAGTGGGGAGCAAGCAGAACAGGTAGATGGAGTGAAAACACTACTGAGGGGAGGAGTGGGTGGGTCAAGAGAGGTCCGCTGTGCCATGTGGGTCACCTCCCTGGAAGGGTGTTGAACTTGTGCTACAGTGGCTGCAGACAGCTTCATAGCACTGTGCTTTAACCCCTTGCACTACCAGGGAGGGCCCTCTCCTTATTATCTTAATGATGCATCAAATGTTTGTATTTCTGATTTTACCTTCCAATAGTCACTGCTTTTTCCATCTTGAAAATTGTTGATTCATTCTTTTCTTAATTTTCAAGGGTAACATTAAGAATCCCCACTTTAAGCCCTCCCATCCTGCATCCGTATCCCAGTTCTACATGCATAGATAAATCTTAAAAAAAAAAAAAGAATTTCCATATTAGGGCCCTCCCTGGTGGTACCTGTGGGTTAAAGTACAGCACTATGAAGCTAGCCACACCACTGCAGCACCAGTTCAATCCCCCACTGGGGAAGTGACCTACATTGTGACCTGCTGTCCTGCCTGCTGCGCCCCTCAGAAGTGTACTTTGTCAGTCTCTTCCTGTTCTGCTCCCCACTCTGTCTCTGGTGAATAAATGTGACTTGACATTGCTTCTGTGCATTTCTGATTCAGCTAGCAGAGCATGTTGTTTTCTTTTAAAATAGGATGTCTCGGGCTGTTCAGCTTCCAGTGCCGTGTCCTGTTCAGCTTGGTTCCTTAAGGAATGACTCCTTAGAAGCTCAGCTTCATGAGTATGTCAAACAAGGGAACTATGTGAAAGTAAAGAAGATTCTAAAGAAAGGTAAGAACCATGTTAAAATGGCAGATGCTGCTACGGGCCACATTTCTGCATTGGAAGGAAAACCAGGGACATCATAAAAATGTGTGCTCTTGGGGACATTAGGGAGTTAAATTGAGGGATGAGGTGTTCTCTCAATGTGTGTGGTCATATTTTAGCATTAGAGCGGATGTTTGAGGGGCCTCCCTGGTGGCCTAGGGGTTAAGTCTCAAGGCTGAGACTTAACTACAGTCTGAGTTACATGTTTCAAGGAGATGACCCACATATGGGGCTGCAGACCTCTCCTACCTCACCAGCTGCTTCCTTTTAGCATGTATTTCAGTCAGTCCACCTGTTTTGCTCCCCACTCTGACTCTGGTGAATTTTCTCACACACCCCCCTGGCCCCAGTCTACACTCCAGTTCTCCTACAGAAAAAGAACAAATTTAAATGAAATAAAATAAAATGAATGTTAAAGTTAGGCATGCTGGACTTTTAATTTTTTTTTTTTTTTAAGATTTATTTATTTGTGCACACAGAGCTGGGGTACAGACCAGAGGCTCAAGAGCGGTGAGAGGCTTCACCAGAGACAAAGTGGGAAGCAGAACAGGCAGATCAATGAAGTACACTGCTGAGGGGAGCAGCAGGCGGGTCAGGAGAGGTCTGCCACGCCATGTGGTCACCTCCGGGGCAGGCGGGAATCGAACTCATGCAGAAGTGGCCTCAGCTTCTCAGTGCTGCGCTCCAGCCCGCTGCGCCACCAGAGAGGGCCACATGCTGCACTTATAGTGTCTGTGGCCCACACCTTCCAGAGTGAGAGGCAGTTTTAGGATGAATCTTCTACACATCTCCTAAATAATCTCTATCTGCAGAATCTAGAATTTAAGCTAGAACAGGTGATGGGACAGACAGGTTTAACTGGATATAAAGGAGCACTTCATCTGGTGATTTCCCCTAGAAAGCTCACAGTAGAGAGCAGGGTGTGGCAAGTCTCCCCATAGTGTAAAGAAGAACTTCTGAGGAAGTGGCCAAATCGGTTTTATTTTTTTTTAAAGATTTATTTATGAATGCACACGGAACTTGGGGTATAGGCCAGAGGTGCAGGGGTGGTGAGAGGATTCACCAGAGACAGAGTGGGGAGCAGAACGAGCAGAGCGACGAAGTACACTGCTGAGGGGAGCAGTGGGTGAGGTAGGAGAGGTCTGCCGCGCCATGTGGGTCACCTCTGGGGCCGGAGATCGAACTTGCACTGAAGCCCTGAAGCAGCTATGGCTAGCTTCACAGTGCTGTGCTTTAACCCATTGTGCTACCAGGGAGGGCCCAAATTGACTTTTGATCCTTCAACTGTCACCTACCTTGCATCTGTTTAAGAGAAAATAATGGGGTTATCAGTGGAAAAGATTCCTTAAAAGGCCTACTCACGGGCTCTACCTGGTGGCACAATGGGTTAAAGCAATGCATTAACAAGCTCTCAGAAGCCACTTCAGCATGAGATCAATCCCCCAACAGGGAGGAGACCCACATGGTGCAGCAGACCTCTCTTCGCCTGTCTGCTGCTCCCCTCAGCAGTGTACTTTGTCGGTCTGCCTGTTCTGCTCTACACTCTGTCTCTGGTGAATCCTCTCACCCACCACAAATCTGGCATGTTCCTCAGTTCTGTAAGCATGAATAAATAAATCTTTTTTTTTTTTAAATGCCTACTCATAAAACAGAATGCTGGGCTTTTTTCCCTCCTCCCTAGCCTCAAGCCCAGTAAGAGGCCCTTCAGGTAAGCCTCATGGAGAGAACTGGGCTTCTGCAAACAGAGTGATGGAGGCTTGCCTCCCAGTTGGCTGAATAGGTCAGCCCACCCTGGTTGCCCCAGAAGACATGAAGAGAGCCTGACATGTCTGTCACATGTCACCTGCAGTTCAGGGATCAGAGCAGCCCTTGTTGGCTGGAGACCACCAGCCATACTTTCACTAGCTGGCATGGCAAGTACACTGACACAGAGTGTCAACTAAAGGGAACTAGGAACAAAGGAAAATTCTTTTTAAAGACTTATTTATCTATGCATACAGAACTGGGATACAGGCCAGAGGTGCAAGGGTGGTGAGAGGATTCACCAGAGACAGAGTGGGGAGCAGAACAGGTAGATTGACAAAGTACACTGATGAGGGGAGCAGAGGGTGGGTCATAGAGGTCTGCCTGGCCATGTGGGTCAGCTCTGGGGCTGGGATCGAACTCACACTGAAGCAGCTGTGGCTGGTTTGCAGTGAGTGCTGTGCTTTAACTTGCTGCACCACCAGGCAGGGCCCAAAAGAAGGAAAGTGCTTTGGGTGCTTTGCTGTGGAGTTGGAGGTTCTTAAGGAACCCATTCTCAAGAAAGAACAGTTATCCGGACAAAGCCAGAAACTACAGTGTCAACTCAGTACAAAGGCCCCTTGGCATCTTACTGATTTTTTTCTACCTCTTCTGGAGTTTCCAGAAACAGCCTTGAGATCAGATGAGTGGAAGAGCAAACAAGACGTTTTGACTTCAACAGAACCGGTCATTATTACCTGAAATAAGACTACACTTAAATGCCTTAAAGTGGCTAAAAGACTGGAATCTGCCAGATATGCCTCTCAGGAAAGGGAAAGGGGAACTGTCCGAGAAGGTATTTGAGGACAGCACAGGGCGCAAAATTCTCTCCAGATTGTATCCTGCTCAGTTCCGCTAAAGGATATATTAATTTTGACACCTCAAAGATGAGTGAGGTGAACCTCAACCCAGACTTTACCCATTTTTTATTATGCATATATTAACTGCCTCAGGTTAGAGACACCAACAGAAGACATGGGGCTCTGTCTCCTCGGAGTATAGTGCAGCAGAAAATACAGACGAGCACGATAAAGTCAGAGGGCCTCTGCTGTGCAGGGGTTAAAGTCTCAGCACTATTAAGCTAGCCCCTGCAGCATGAGTTTCAGTTCACTATTCCCCTCAGCAGGGTATTTCAGTCTGCCTGTTCTGCTCTCCACTCTGTCTATGGTGAATCCTCTCACCACCACCACTTTGCACCTATGGCTTACATACCAGCTTTTGTGTCCAAAACTTTTTTTTTTAAGTATAAAAATGGCCTTCCTTGGTGACACATGGGTTGAAACACAGAACTACGAAGCTGTCCAGCCACTGCAGCATGAGTTTGATCCCCTGCCAGGGAGCTGACCCACATGGCCCAGCAGACCTCTCCTGTCTCTCCTGCTGCTCCCCTTAGCAGTGTATTTCAGTATATCTGCCAGTTCTGTTCCCCAATCTGTCCCTAGTGAATCCTCTCACCACCGCACCTCTGGTCTATACCTAATTCTTGTATGCATAAATCAATAAATCTTCCCCCAAAGTGTACTATTTCCACTACCACCCCCTCCTTTCTTTCACAGACAAACTGTAACAGGGTGGTCACTAGGAAAAAGGGAAGTTCCAGGTTCCCTGCCCCACCCAGAAGGAGGGTGGAGCTGAGCAGAGAAAAAGGGGAGAAGAAAAGAAGGAAGCAGGATGGAGAGCCAGAAGGAGACCTGAGGAAGCCACATGGAGCAGCAAGCATGTGATGAAGAAACCATGCTTGTTTCCTTACCCTGTAACAGTCAAGGCAGATGTGGGTCAGAGACCTGTAGGAAGGTGACTATGGCAGCGTTTATATTTGATTTTGCTCTTTTCCTCCCTGACTTGTCTGGCCATTTCTGACCCTTTTCCATGGGTCCCGGCCAGAAGGTGCTTTAGTCTTGTGGCAGCTTTCAGGCCTTGCTTTGGGCCAATCCCTTTTGGGTGGACTTTTGCCCACGAGGGGACGGGTAACTTCAGGTGTTTGATTTAGAAGTTATATTCTTTGTGTTCCGTATTGTATACTCACTGTATTAAAGTCCCTTTTCATTAAAATTTTTTATGTTTTGTCTTGATGTGGTGGATGGCAGAACCCACTTAGAGCAGGCAGGTTTAGGGCTTCATTGGTGTCTCTCCCTGTCCTGTAACAAACTAGATTTCATCAAGGTGAATTTATCTAATAAATTGGCCAGAGGTAATCCGCGAGGAACAAAGGCAAGAAGGGTTAATCTCCTTTTTCATGGTGGGGCGGCGCCACAGGACAGGGCCCTGGAGGCTAGAAGCAGGGTGCAGGTTAATAGGAGTTTAGCGGGCACGTGCCGGCGGTGTGATTGGCTGCTAGGAAGATATATGCTAATGAACTGTGAAGTGTTTCGAGAAGAATTCAAGTGAAATATTGTTTTGAAGTTTGCCATTCAACCGAATTATTTTATAACAAACAAATGGTGAATTTAAATACATATAAAAGGGAAATGAATGTATAAACAAAAGTTTAAAAAGGTACCATGACTGTAAAGTGTGCGGTTCCCCTTGGCCCAGCAGCGGTCGCTTACCACGAGCTAAGACTATACTTTCAGGGATCATTTCTATAGTTCGTTACTAGAGAAGATTCTCTGATCGTGTAGAGCACCGGAAACCACGAGGAGGAGGTGCAGCGTTCTCTCCTGAGCGTGAAGCCGGCTCTGGGTGTTGCTTGTGCGACTGCTCTTTGCCATTGATGATCGTTCTTCTCTTCCTCTGGGAGAGCAAGAGGGAGAGGACGCAATCTGAGTGGTTTCTGTTTAAACTCTACTGTTTAAAGATTTGATTAAGGTTAGTTTCAGTTATGGCTGGGTTCTTACGGGCACCAGGCTCAGTTAAAACTGAAGCTCAGCGTAATTTAGTTTTTGATCTAGGGGGTTTTTGGCGTAGTATAAGAGTACAAAGGCTTTCAGTGTTGCACAGACGTGGCGTGCCTGGCCTAGCCTTTATTAACCAGGCATTAGTGTCATGGTTGATATGCAACTATTTATTTGAAATGAGGTTATGTCAGATGGTCCGAATTAGTTTCCCAAAAGCTAAGAAGGAAAAATAAAAACATGGGCTCTCCTTGGTGGTGCCGCGGGTTAAATGGAACACACCACGGGAAGCAAAAGCCACCTCAGCATGAGTTCCATCCTAGCCCTGGAGGTGATCTCCTGCCCTCC